AAACTATCCAAAGCAGCTGAGCCCCTGGGGCTGTTAGCAAAAACTCCAGAGAGCTGATTTTGGCCTGAAGTGAGTCTCAAAGCTTAAACATTAAAAGGATACTTAGAACATACAGACTTTTTCATCCTAACATAATATGATAAACAATTTAAATCTGAATGTAACAACTACTGTTCCATATCTTTTCCTAATACCATTACATGTTCCTGTATTTTACTGGTCAAAAAAACTGTGAAGTTAATTGGCATAGCCTGTTATTTTCTGGTATCTGTTCCGATTTCAAAGGAAAGAAACAGGCTCAGAGAAGATGCCTTGCCCAAAGTCACACATTTAAAAAGAATATAAGAGCTATATTGAGTACAAATGCAGTTCCACTGATTCATCATTCATTAATTATATAGATACTTGAACATCTGCTGTGTCCTAGGCACTGGGGATATAATGAACACCACAATGTCCATATCCTTTCTCAAGGATATTATTACAGTCTAATAAAGGTAGGAGTTGCCCCACAGTTATCATACAGTATGACAAGGTGGGGTAAGTACAAAGGACTATGGGAATATTTCACAGGGCTGTTTAAAACAATATGTAATATTCAGAAACATCTGATATTTGGCTCAGCTTAACTTCTATAACTGTGTAAACCCTAAGTTTTCCATCTTCTTTGGAAACCTCCTAATTATTCAGAGACATTAGCCTTTCATAGCCCCAAGCCAGCCACATAGCCAGTTGCATCACACTGCAGCACACTGAGGCAGACTGCAGGTTGAAACTTACCCAGAACTTGTTTTACCTTAGCCATGGAAACAGGTGTACTCATTCCTCCTTCATGGGTCTACTGAAATTCAACACTTAACATTAGGTTCCCGATGCATAGTGGATACTGAATAAATGTTTAATAAATGAATAAAAGTCTCCCCAAATCAAGCCTTCCTATTGAGCTGGGGCAGTCCCAACCAGCTTCCACCTTCTTCTAATATATTGCTGTAACAAAATACGGATTTCCTGGTATTTCTGTGGGGACTGTTAACTGTTACTTCAGTTTATATTTTTACTAACTGGACATAACCATGCTCTCCAAAAAGGTAAATATTTTATTGTTGCTTTAAAACTTGGTATCTCAAACTTCCATATCTAGAACTTTTATGAGCAGCACAAATAATCTTTTATAATGTTTAAGGGTGATGTTGAAACTGCCAAAAAAGCAAAGATACTGAGATCTAGATCTTTGTCTTAATAGTTACATATATTTGCAATATCTTGTTAACTATGGAAGTTTCTAATGGTTTTAGGATCTTATTTGTATCATTCTTGAAGGGCAATTAATTATTTGCTATTTAATTGTAATTTTCAGGTAAAGAAGATACTCCCTCATTACTTGGCCTCTGTGGATCTCTAACGTCAGTGGCAAGTTATAAGTCTCTAACAAGCTTAAAATCTAATGACTACCTTGCAAGTCCTACAACAGAGATGACAAGTCCAGGCCTAACTCCATCCTGAAAATTTTTAAGTAAAAGCCAAAAGTTTTTATGTTGTAAATGTTTAATTTACATATGTTTGACTGCTGGGAAGACCTTTGAAATTTTATATTGTTCTGGTACATGTCTGAAAGTCTATTGCTTAGAGAGAATCCACTCCAGATAAGAGATTTTGAGTGAAAAACAATGATCCTGCCATTTTTCAGTTTTAAAATTCTTATATTTGTCATTGAGAAAGTTCATAAAGGAATAGGCTTTAAAACAAAAAAGCTTTCAAAGATCCACCAAATAGTTCATAGCAAATTGTACATATTGTTCAGCTGATTTTTATATATTTAAATATACCTTAGTGGCCAGAGACTGACTTCAAAGTTTTATTCCAGAGACTTAAGCTAAGAATTTTTTCATTCTTTCAGAGTTTCAAAAAAAAAAAAGTTAATTTCATTTTGTCATTAATTTCTTCTTAAGTTCTATGCTTTAAATGCCTTGTTTTTAATATCAGGGGAAGGTTCTCAGCTGCATTCTCACAGTGGCTTATTCAGTTTTTCTTTAATATTTACCATTTGGTATCAACTCAACATTCCACTTAACATTTTATAATTTCCATAGGAATGTGTCTGTTTTGGTAGTTACTGACTTAATTTGTTAGTGCCACAAGGAAGATATTTTACAGCATTTTATGCCATTTAGGTAAAATGAATAAACTGTTTTCCAAGATTTTCTTAAAAGATTATCAATTTAAAAATATGATCAAGTATGCCTCAAATACTAGACATATTTCAAAACGTAGAACAAACGTTGAAAAACTGTTTTGCCAGGAAAGAGTTCAAGTTAGTTAAGGATTTGAGAGGCATTTAAACAAGGATCAATAAGGTAGTTATCATACTTGATTAATATATGTCTGATACTCAGTGCTGGTTCTTTTTCCTGTTTGTGCAACAATGAATTGTGTCGTATGTTTTATAGACTCTAGCATTAATCACACCATAATCTCATTTTAAAACATTTAAATGTTAAAAAATCCCCACACTTATATACAGGTAAAATTAGTTTTCTTTTTTTAAACCCCCCCCCCAAAAAAAGTTGTAATCTGTACTTCTATTTTTTTTGGAATTTTTGAAACAGCTACATTAATTCCTAAAAATCCCGCCATACTGAAAATGTATGGCGTGTATTTTCTATAGTAAGTAATATGAGGAAAACATGATTAGCTGTGCCAAAGAAATTTTATACATTGTTTACATGATGAGGCCACAGTACTTATTGGGGACTTCATATGGTATTTTTGTTTATTATTATTGAGAAGAGTCAAGAACCGACGTTGCCACATTCATTCTTTGTGTTAGAAATGTAGGAGTGTGGTAGTTTTCTGCAAAATTTACAGCTTAGTCTCATAATTTGGAATTTAAGATAATAAGTAGTAACAAAGCAAGTCTTATATGTAAGACAGTCAAACAGTGTCACTTCGGGGACAAAGGCCTGGAAGCCCTTAAAATAAGTTATCTTAGATGTGCCAGAACATATTCAGAGCTTTATTCCTTTAGCTTAAGGCTTTAATACTTGTAGAAATGCAAATATTCTTGAGAAATGACACATTTTCGTTCTCAATTTCTCAATTCTGTATACCTGATTGTGAGTGAAGTATCCAAAGCAGGTTTTCATCAGCTTGGGGTATGGAAGGTAGGTATAATAGGACAATGGAAACTTTGGGAGAAGGGAGTGAGGAAATGGATAAGGAGAAATTTGAAAATTTTAGCCTGGACTTGAGCACTATTGCTGCTTTCCTATGAACTATCAGAATGTTTAAATGCTTTATCAATCATGGTCCACTCTCAACTAACATTTATTATCCTTTAGTAATTAAACAATGGTTTTACATACATTTTTGTAATATAGAAGGAAATTCAAGATTCCATAATCGTAAAATTTTTCAGATCTGTCTAATGTATAATTTGTGCATCTTAACATGCTGCTAAATGCAGATTTAAACATTACATCTGAGGATCATGACTTTTCCTCCTTTCTTGGAGATCTTGGTGTAAAATTCATCTGCTGTTATAAAATCAGGTTTCTACACAGTTCATTTCACACTAGTTACTGTTTGCATGAAGAAACAATGTATGTCTCAATCTTTAATTTTAGTTTGGTAGTGTTTACTGTTCACCCACCCCTCTTGCCTCCAAAAGAATGCTGAATTATACGCCAATATTTCCATGTGTATTCTGTTGCCTTGATGCATACTATACTTGTTGCATGTATATTAAACATTTTGTACTATGCATTGGTGGTCTTATTTTGCTTGACAAAAAGTTAACCGATTTAACTTGTACACTAAACTTTTGTTTCAGCAAATGTGGTAACTATATATTGTTTCACACCTAAAATACTAACATGAAAATGGAATGGGAGAAATCCTTATTCCAACTCACGTCAAGTTAAATATCCTATTTTTAAAAAGTAATATGATATGCTTTAGAATACACATCTACTGAATCAGTACAGTTTAGTAATGGTTCTGGCAGTGTTACTAATTTAATTATAAAATAGTCATGTTTGCTTTCTTTGTAAGAATCATCACTGTCTTCTTGGCACCTATGGCATCAGGATGATGTAAGCATTAAATAAAATCATATATAAAAGTTCTAAAGAGATAAATGCCAAATGCAAGCTACTAATTATGATTGGCAGAAAAAGTAAATCATAAGTTAGTTGTTAAATCAGTAGATTTACATACAGTTTTTAAGTGGTTATAAATGTGTCCCAAATTTACAACTTAGAAAACTGATTTGTTAAAGTTCCTATCATTAGATGAAATGTCCAGATTTTGCTAAACATATTGGATTACCGCTTAAGCGTCACAAGACTGTGGTTCATTCTGCTCTTCTGAAAGCAAAGCAGCTTCGATTTGGTTTTAGCATTTGTCATTTTAACCGATGACAGGAAAGGGAAGATAAAATTATCTCTTTTTCATTATGGTACATTTAAAAAGTGTATTTTAATACAAACCAAAACTTTTAGATTTCTAACACAGATCACCTTATCATAAGCCCCATTTTCCATACTGCTAGTTATCTTTCCAAAACGCAAGTCTAACTGTTACAACTGTGCCGGAAAGTTTTTCCTAGGCTTCCCATGGCCTTCTTGTTCCTCCTTTAGCACACAAGGCCTTTGACTACATTTCCAGTCTGATCTCTTACCACATTTCCATGTATACATTTTGTTCAAGCCATATGGACTAAATTCCACTGCCTTACTGAGACTCCCACTTCCCTGCATATTTACTAATTGGATTGCCTGTCAGTCCAACTCTTAGGTTTCCTGACCCTCCCCTTCTCTGCCCCCAGGCTGAGTGAACAACTCCCCATATTTCCCATGACTCCCTTTGCATGCTTCTAGCAATCAATCAGTCATAGCTCTGAAACCTCCTGTGGCCAGTAACAATATCTGAAATGTCTTGTCTCCAGTGCTTTTTTTATACTGCCTACTACAAAAAATGTCCCAATAAATGCTGACAGATTAAAATATAAAAGCAGTAATATTTTATTTAAAAAGTTCATCTTAGAAGAAAATTCAAAAGGGATACAATAAACTTGTCCACATCCCAAACACTTGTGCCCAAGACAAAAAGAGGGAAGAATTTGTTTTTAATTTTAAGTTCAGGGGTACATGTGCAGGTTTGTATATAGGTAAAGTTGTGTGTCATGGGGGTTTATTGTACAGATTATTTCATCACCCAGGTATTAAGCCTAATACCCATTAGTTATTTTTCCTGTCCCTCTCCCTCCTCCCACTCTCCACCCTTTGACAGACCCCAGTAGATGTTGTTCCAAGAGGGAAAATTTTAAAAAACACATGCAGTTAAATAACCATCGTGAATAGTCTTCCTAGAAAAAGAAGAAAAAAAATTGCCTTTTAAAAAAAGTCAAACATGTATTAAAGGTTGCAATCATCTAATATTTAAAATTAAAGATGTTCCTTCTTAAAATTTTACATTTAATCAACTAAATGTTTATGTTAGAAAATTTAACGTTAATAGAATAAAAGCTGTTTAAGAAACATCACCAAGAACACTGTTGTGGCGCATGTTTACAAATACTGCAATTCCTGCAACATATGTACTGGAAAGTCTGGAAAGCCCACATGGCTGAGAGTTATATTTGAATACTGATGTAAAACCTGGGAATATTCATCGTGCCAATTATGGTTCAATTATTTTATCAGAACTCTGGAAGCAAATTAAAATTTTAAAATTTTAGCTATTCCATGGACTGAATTTTTCTAGGTACTATTTTAATACAAATTAATTATGGCAAAATTCTGAACCCTTTTTGGTTCAGAATTCTAAAAGTATTAATGTTTCTTTACCTCTTAAGTATAAAGAAAGCTTCAATTCAGCCTTCTTTTCATCCAGATACATTGCATGTAGTATGTGTTAGAAAAACTACTAGGCATTTAGATTTACTTATATTACTTTATTCATAAGTAAGAATTTTCCTAAGTGCAGTGAGGGGTAGGAGACATGGAAACCTTTCTCATACTTACAGGTGATATTAAACTGAAATATGTAACTGCCTTTTGGGAACAGTATTAACTTTTTCTGCTTTTTTTCTATGAATTATCCATAAGCATAGCAAAACTAAGATAAATTTAAATTTAATATTGTTAAAGAGCACTGTTCAAGATAAACTTTCATATATATATCACAGTACAGCATTATACAATGATTTTATATAAAAATATTTAGAAGCACAGTGATGATTTTAAGAAGGCATAAACATTTTAATGAAATAAAAGAATGTCATGAATATTTATATGGATATGTTGCAAATTTAAGGTAAATCAACATAGGATAAAATAAACACAGAAGATTACATGCAAACCCTATATACTTTATTTCTGGTGTTATACTTTCCTACTATAGTACAAAATCAATTAGTTCCTCTACCAGCACTAAAGACTTGTCATCTATTCATTTTAGGAGAGGAAAAAAATGCTTCACATTTTCCTAAAATAAAGACTGCAATAAAGTGCTGTTTTCTTTTTAAAGGATATAGATCCTAAGAAAATAAAACTAAAGTATAAAAAATGAATAGCATTTCTTTTCCTGCCATTATATCCTTTCTTATCTCATTCCTACATACAATGAATGATAAGCTAAAGTATTTAGACATGTACGGTGACTGAAAGCAATGTCTTCAAGGAAACAGCTTCTTGTTTAGCCTCTTACTCTACCATACTTAGTGTAAAAATCAAAGGATATTTTAGAAATATTTTGTAACTATTATTGTAGCAATAATGTCTTGTTAGAACAAGACAATAAAAATGACCTAGAGAATTCCGTGAACAATGATACTTGGATTACAAGATGGCTAAAAATCGGAGGCTATTCCTGTGTGCAAACTATTTTTACCAGTCTAAATACTATATAATTTACCACTGAACACCCAAGTTTGGCTGAAGTGAACATTTGCTACTATCAGTAAAAAACTCCCTCTCTTACAGGAACAGCAGAAATACAGACATTTAGTCATCAAAAATGGCACAATGTACATCACACAAATGATTATATTATGGTTCATAAGGAGAACAGCCACAATTTTGATCAAAGAAATCTTAATACATGTGAAGCCTTAAAACAGCAACATGGCGGGGTGGGACAGGGAGGCGGGAACCTAATGCATTTGAATTAAAGGAAACAGGCAATATTTGGTCAATGTGAACAATGCTATTTAACGACTGCCTTCCTTACTTTACTGAAATACAGAAATACCTATGTACATGATTTAAATGTGCACAAGACTTGGGCTTTTTTTTTCTAGACTACGTACATCATTCAGCACACAATTCAAAAAGTTCTTGTGTATCCGACACACTCCCATTAAGATTATGTTACACTGAAACATACAATATTAAACTCTCAGAGATTGCTTTTGATGCTAAGGAGTAATTTGTCTTATTTTTACAAGAATGCTCAATGGTGGTGATTTCTAGAATATTATTTTCTGTATCACCAAAAATAGGATAAAATTTATTTTAAAATTATGGTTTAGAGGTAGAGCTGAAATCATTTATTTAAATTATAGGAAAGAAAGACATAAAATCATTGTAAGAGAATAATGGTGAAAAACATTCTTGCCTAACAGTCTCCATCTTCTTTGGTTATAGTTGTTGTTTCAAGTTGAAACAGCATCACTAGTACTGCTGCCTTCGAACATTTTGTTTCTGGAAAAAAGCCTTTCCAAATTCATATGTACTGATCATAATGGCACAAGCAGGAGCAATTTTAATTAAGCGAGGAATTAGGCCTGAAAAAAGAATAGGAATAATCAAAACAAATATTTTTTCTTACCTTATTTTTAAAAATATAATTTTTTGGCTTTATTCTGATAATGTTCAAATTAAATGAATATATTAAAATCCATAAATTGGTAGAAAAGACTGTGCACCTCCAACAACTTCACTTCAATCCATATTACATTATAGAGAAATTTTTATCTTATTGATAGTAAATCTGTTATTTAACATTTATTTTAATTTATAATACAGATATTTAGGAGAAAATAAACATAGTATGTTACCTATAACTTCCTCCTATAAGTTAATTTTAGAAGGTGATAGGTTTAAAAGTAATCATTCTATTCAATGATTCAGTAAAGCAAGTATTTTTACCTGAAAATAATCCGGAAAATCCATTTTTAGCAACAATGTTCTTCATTATAACCCAGGTTGACATATGCAAAGGCATAGAAACTAAATGTTAAAGAAATAATGCTATTATAAATAACAATTTAATAATTCCTAATACAGATAACACAAAGTAGTGTTCATGGCCCTTGGGGATATATAATTTCATTACCGTAAGAGGTTTGTTTACCTAAAAAGCTACTTTAAGTTTTATTTTTAATAGATTCATGAAAAATAAAAAACAGAAAAAGGCTGTATATTTAAAGATGTATAGGACGGGATGCAATTAAGGAGGAATGTACTGAGGGTTTCTCCTGACTTGATAATGCTTGTTTCTTAAACTTGATGGTAGTATTTTTTAAACTTTTTTCTAGGTCTTAGAAACTTTTCATAATGAAATTTTTAAAAGATGTATAGACAGCTACTTTGGAGGCTGAGGTGGGAAGATCGATCTCTTGAGCTTAAGAGTTCAAGACCAGCCTGGTCTTGAACTCTTAAGTGAGACCACCATCTCTTAAAAAATGTATAGAAACCTTCATGGGGTATCCAATGCCAAAGAAAAGTCCTCACAACCATTTTTCATTCACATTTTATTATAAATAGTTATAAAACTTTTTTTTTTTCTAAAAAGAGTTCTGAGGAAAACAGCTCATTCTCCCTAGCAGTGTCTTGAGTTATTACTACCTTTCTGAATGGATATGCTAGTCTTGAAATAAATTAGACCAGTGCTCTCCCCTTCAAAGGGTTTATTTTAGCTAACAATAACATCTCACTTATTTGCAACCACTCAAATATCTGGAAGAAAATGAATAAAAAACTAATTTTTTAAAAACTTAGCAAAAGTAGATGTCACTGAAGTATAAACATAAAGCTTGTTTGTAAACCAAATTTGTTTATTTTCATTTTACGCACTTTTCTAAACAGCTACCTTGGCCCACAGACTACTAGATGCAATAAGATTAAAAAAAAAATTTAAGAACCAGATACACTACCATGTAAACGACATGACAGCTAACATGATGAAGATTTCAATGTCTTGTTTTGAGACCAGCTGGATGATGGGCAAACAATCCTATACTGCCCTCTCTAGCTTTTGAGAGCTGCTACTCTACAAAAATCGATGTTTACATGGAAGACAACCCTGAATCATTAAACAAGATTAAAGTATGTACCACTACGCAAGCCTGGAAGATAAAAGTTAAGATAAAACGATATCTTTCAAAAATGACTTTCTAGAATTTTGCCATTTAATGGAGTGTGATTCATTATCTCCAAATTTCATTTATATAAAATATCAGAATCTCTGACTATGAATAAATGAGGACTAAGATAAATGAAGCCTTATGATTTAAGAAGCTATACCAGCAATAGTATAAGCATAAACAGTAACTACAGCAGCCCAACACTGATTACAAAATATGAATGAAATTTAACTTTCTAAAGAAAGTCAATGACAAGAACTTTCTAAGTTGGCAATTTTCACTTCATGTTTAAATTATTTCATTTAAATTTTAAAAACTAGTCAAAGAATGGTGATCAAGCAGCAGGTGTTTCTAATCTTGTAGAACTCATGCCCCAAACTAGTTTCTATTTTAACAAGAAGGTGAAATTAAGAGAATGACAAAAAGAATATCAACTGAAGGTAAGCCAAGCTCTAGTGGAACCTTAGAAGTGTCTCCTGCCTAACATTTAAACATTAAAGAGCTACTCCTACAGGTAATAAGCAAATTCTTGCACTGTAAAGAAACACTTTTATTATTAAATATTTCAAGCATAGAGAAAATAAATGCTCATTTACTGAACATCCAAATTTACTATATCGTAATAACTCTTTTAGATCCAGTTGAAGCCCCCTATATATTCCTCCCCAATAGTATTTTTCCTCATTCTCAAAGGTAATCACTCTTGTCTTTCTTTTTTCATCTTTCTCATGCATTTGTTTAAATGTTTACATCTAAACATATCCACATATATACTCTTCTTTGTATACATCTGGAATGTACAGAACAATGTATACTTTTCTTTATCCTCCGTTTAAACTTTATATAAATGATATCACACTGCACACTGACTTCTGCAATGTGCTTTCAGAATTATCTAGGTTGGTAAGTGCAGCTATATTTTATTCATTTTAATTGCTGCATGGTATTGCATTACATGGCTTATAATGATTTATCCATTTTCCTGTAAAGGGACATTTAGGTGATTTCTAACTTTTTGCTGTTTTAAAAATCTTGCCTTGGATATCCTTGTACATGTGCAAAAGTTTCTCTAGGGCACATATCTAGGAGTGGAACTGATAACTCAGAATGGACTCCTTGCTACTGCCAGATTGTTTTCCAAAGTAGCTGTTGCAAATACTGTTACCATCATGGCATAAAGTTTCCAGTGAGCTACATCCTCCCCAACAGTTTAATTTATATAAAATGTTCTCTCACTGCTGTTCCTTAGTATTACCAAAATTGAACATTTTAAATAAGTTTATTTGGCAAGTATAACCATTTCATAATGATTCATTTCTATTTTAAAATAGAAATACGATAAATATTGAAATACAGAAAAATATTGCCTTAAATATTAAAACCAATGTACTATTTATTAAATCTATTAAACATTTTAATTTTAAAATGTTTAAAAATTAAATATTGCTTGAGTAGTTTTTTTTTTTCTATAGTTCTATTGTCCAGTTAAGAATAGTGTTTTAAAAATATTAAATGTGTTCAGAGAAAAAGAAGTTTAACTTCTGGAAATAAGTACATTTGGGCCAGGTTTAAAAAGCTAAAACCAGAGATTAAATTTTTAAAAATTAATAATATACGACACACTCATAAATTAGGTAAAAGTTATCTCTGTTATAGGATATGGCACTTACTACATGCTAATGTGCTTCTGAATGCAGCCTCTGTTCCAGTAGCTTATGAGCTCTTTGAGGATTTGGGTAATTGTCTCATTTATCTGTATATACCAGCATGGTGCCTGACACAGTACAGGCACTCAGTAATTGACTAATGAATGAAGAATGGAAGAAGTGGTCAAAGTAGGCTGACAGATCATATACTTGCATGGAACTATCATTCTATAGTATGATAGATATAACACTTCATATTTTCTTTTTTGCTTAGAGAGAAGGGATTTGGTATAGTTGAGCTGTGGAATGAAGGAAGTCACTTCTAAATGGAGCTGAGTTACTTCTTGGGGATAAATAATGTAAATCCAAACAGTAAGTATGGGCTGATTATCACTCAAATTGCAAGTGTAATTTCAACTGAAATGTTATCTTAGTAAACCTTTAAGTAACTGGTTCATAGCTGAAGTACACTAACAGATTAAAATTTACAATGATAATCATGGAAAATTAAAACCCAACTCTTAAGATTTTTCCTTTTAGGTTTAAATGAGGAAACATTAATTAGAAAAAACCGGTGACAGGTAAGAGTTAAATCTAATAAAGAAAGATGGCTCCCTGGTGCCAGTCTCAATGAAGATATATATCACAATCACTTAGGGATCATTTTCAAAATATACAAGCTAGAGTTCCACCTCAGAGTCATTAAATGAGAGTCTATTGAGGGTGATGTCCAGCTTTAGGTATATTGAATAAGCACCTCAGGTGACTCCAATGATTAGTTACCAACATAAGTGGCTCCCAAACTTTAGTGTGCATTAGAATCTACCTGTACAGATTCCCATCTTTCCCTTATCAACCACCATGACCACCACTACCTCAATGCCCCAGTCATTAGCCATTTATGCTAAATTACACCAAAGAGAAACTGGTGAAATCCTACTATATTAAATATTATACTTAAGAGGGGAAATAGAAATTCTGATAAGAAAAGAAGAATGAAACAAAGTAATTTTGAACTGTCAAAGGAGGACAGATAGGGCTTGGGTTTCTAGAAGGCTCATGCCTAAAACAGGGAAGTGGGAGAAGCCTAATATAATAAAACTCTGATTACCTCCCAGGTTTTCATTAGCTTCTAATATAAGAGGAGAGTAGGTATTTGACAGGTCAAAGACAAGGATGTCACCAATATCCATCAGATTCATTTGTAGAGGTCTGTAACCAGCTTCTTTCAACATTATACCTATTTTACCTTTTATGCAAACTATTATAATCATGGGTAGAAGAATTTTTATTTACATTGTAATAGTCTTATCATAAGACTTACATAATTTTGTAATAGACAATTTCCCATGGGTTTGCTACACTTTCTAAAGGGAATAAATGACAGAGGGATCCTAGTAGAAGCAAATAGGAGTACACTTTTGTTCTAGAAGAAATTACAGGTTATGAAGAAATAAAAATAGATGGTTTTTATGATTAAGTTGGGTTATCCCAGAAATGCAAAGGCACACAGTAAAAATCTTTAAATGTCATATTACCATGTTAACAAAACCATGGGATCATGTAATAATGAAAAAGCATCTGATAATGCTTTCATATACAGATATATATATATACACACTATCAAAAAAAAAAAAAAAAGAAAAAAGTTTCCCAGTAATTTCCTATCCTTTATCCTGATTTGTCTAGATTTATCTTATTGGTTTATTTCAAAGACTTATGAGGACAATAAAAATAATAATTTGAAATAGATCTGAAAACAAACTGTAGGAAAAGACATCATAAAACAACTTAGCTTTTAAATGACAAAGATTATTTCTTCTTTATCGCAGGTATGAGACTTAACTGATGGCATTCAAGAAACATTAGACTTTACATTTTCTTAAATTTTTTGTTTTTGTTTAGAGATTTTCTGGGTATTCCATTCTAACAGTATATTACTTTCAGTAAAATACACAAAGAATAATGCAGAAGAAAAAAATCTTGTTTTCTTTATTTTAGATATTCTTACAATATCTGGATGAAAAACAAAAAAATGCTTTAAATTTATTAAACTTACTTTTATGACTTTCATATGTCCAAAGTTGTGTCTGCTTTTGTGTTTTTACTACATCAAATGGTAAAGTTGCAACAGCTGCAAACTATCAGAAAGTAAGATTAATTTCCATCAACCTTTTAACTTTTCCTAAAATATTTTTACATTCTTCTAATTAGTACATTATTTAGTAAGAATAATAATGAAAATAACAACTTTAAAATGAAATAATACGTATATCTTTTAAGTCTTCATTAAAGAAAACAGATATGTATTTCTCACTATACTCAAAAGTAAAAAGCCTCAGAAAAATTCCCTTACTTTCCTGAGGTCACATAGCTACTAGCTGCAAAGCCACAATTCCAACCACACCTCTCTGACTCCACTACCAGCATTCACAATTTCTCATGCTCCTTTGTGTTTTATTATTCCTTTACATCACAAGAAGGTACAACACATATGTCAAAGCAAAAATTCTCAAGTATCTAGTAAGCATTTTAAAATTTCCAGCAAATGCTTTTAAAATAGAATAAAAACTTAAATTTGAACAATGAAAATGAATTTTGAACTTTTAGCTCTATAAACCTTTTAAAATAGTTATGTAAATGTTTACATATTAAAATATAGTTACAATGGTTTACAAATTAGATTTTTTCCTATTAATGATAAAAGCTGGATGCAAATCACATTTCAAATAACTTTTCTCAAAATAATTTACACTTATTTCCACAATGCCTTGAGTTTTTTTAATAACTTAATTCTTTTAAATATGTTATCACAATATTTGATACAACAGCCATGCAAGGTTAAAACTGGCAGGTATTTTTGCTTCCCAACTCACATTTGGCCAATATGGGCATAAAATGCCCCTTTAGAATCACTTATATTTTATTTCAACCCAACAATTTGATTTACGTTCTTGAAATCAGCTTTGAAGATTTCAGGTAAGGTAAAATCAATGATTTTTCTCCATCTTCATTATCTATCATGTAGTAGCTACAATGTTATGTAAGCCATTTTTGAAACTCTTTCTAAAATAAGGTGGTTTAGGCTGTTCTGTTTTCTGACAGAAAGCCTGGACACTCACATTCAGATGTTTTTTCTGTTGTAGAGACAAAACGTTATTTGAAAACTGTCAAAATGCAGCAATTTTCTAGATCATTTTAAAAAATGCTAAAAAAATAGATTTTCTAGGTTACATAGAAATAGTACAATAGAGGACTCTCCTTTGTATTTCTGCAAAACTGGTAAATATCCTAAAGCCATTATTCAACAATACTAATTGCTTTTTTTGTTCAATAGGCTTATAATCCACTAGGATTAATTTGAAAGATTTTAGACTGGGAATATTTATATCTAAGTTTTAAAGTCAACTACATGGCTTCCTTGGCCTAGATTTTCTGAGATATTATTACAATATTTTTTTCCAAGTCTCCATCACTTCACTCTGCTCCTTCACTATTGTTTTTATGTGGTTCCAGTGTGTTATTGTCTCACTACAAGTTATTACAAATTCATTTTTGGAAGTATGTGAGTATAAAAAAACTATTACCAATGTCAGGGTGATATAAATCTGCATAATGAAAGTCTACTACAGGACTTTCATATCATTCTACAAGGAGGTGTGGAAAAAGATAAACTATTACCCAAAAAATGGTAACTTAAGATTCCTTCCTTCTGACTGTAATTTTTGTTCAAATTCTTTTAAAAAGTACTTTAGTAGGACAAAATGTTTCCAAAGAAACAGGAATCAGCAGCAGAGGCTAGAAGTGCTTAACGCATATGAGATGACACTGCATGAAATATTATGTAATCAGAGCAAAATTACAAAATGCTCTAAATAATAAAACTCTAAAATATTGTAACTGTAATGATCTAACAAATTCAAAAGTTTCTCACAAAAATGTTTTTGCAACATAAAAACATAAATACAGTAGTTTAAATTATTTTATTTGCTAATAATTTGTTTCCTTAAAATAGATGGAAAATATTTAGAAAAACTTTCAAGCAGTGCAGCCAAAGTGGATCTCAATATACATGAGATGTTATATAATATTTTGTTTTGTTTTAATACAACAATTATTTTTCTGGAATATTAATAACAAAAGAATAAACTTACAGAACCAGACAATGCCCCTGAAGTAAAGTTGATCATAAATGATGGCTCATATAAACCAGACTTCTCACATAACCACTTCTTTAAAATTTCATAGTTATACCAGTACATTGCTATAAAAACAGAGAATGAAATGAACACACATTTAGAAACAAAATGTGGACTTTAATAAAAGAGTTATGAGGTTATATATTCAGGGGATAGACAAATTCTAACCTTGACACACCTTGCTTTCTGCTTAGACACCCACTAGGGTGGGATTTCTTTTTTTAAAGCAAAATTCTCAGTAATATTCTAGCAGTCCTATAAACAAAAAAAAAACTATGCATCAATGAAGTATGACTATAATTCCAAAGCCTGACAACAGTACAAAGGAAAAAAGTAAAGGCCAATCTATTCATGATCATAGGTACAGACTTCCTAAAAACAATAATGAAAAACAAACTGAAGTCAGAAATATTTCATAAAATATCATACACTATGATTAAGTTGGGTTATCCCAGAAATGCAAAGGTATACAATAAAATTCTTTAAATGTCATATTACCATGTTAACAAAACCATGGGATCATGTAATGATAATGAAAAAGCATCTGATAAAACTCAACACTCTTTCATTTAAAAGAAGCAAGTTTCTTGGAAACCTAGAAGTAAAAGGAAACTTCTTTAATTTGATAAAGAACATGCATCAAAAACCTATACCAAAAATAATTATTAATGGTTAAATGAGATTTATTTTCTTTAAAATGAGAAAAACGATGGGGATGTTCATTATTGTCATCATACTTCAAAAACTCACTGGGCAGCAAGCAAGAAAGAAAAATTATGATTATAAATGATGATATAAAACAGTTAAATTTACATATATTTTTATATATATCCAAACCAAAACGATAGTAAGACAAAGCAGAATTTATAACAGAATGTTAAAACATAGCTGGATATAAGCTATAGAAAAAAATCAATTGCAACTGTACCAACTACAAAGTTTAATTTTAAAAAATTAAAATAGAGCTTTAAAAATAGCTACTAAAAGCTGGGGACAGTGGGGTGCACCTATAACCAAATGTCAGAAAAAAGAGATGAATACAACCTTGATGAAGAAAAATTTGACTCTCTCCTAAAACAACTTCTTAAAGACTTATTATTAACATAAAGAGATGACATTCCTAGGGAAGAAAAATAAAGTGACATCAAGATTTTTCTTAGCCAAGCATGGTGGCACACGCCTTTAGTTCCAGCTACTCAGGAGGTTGATGTGGGAGGATTACTAGAGCCTTGTAGATAGATCAAGGCTACAGTGAGCCGTGATTGTGCCACTGCACTCCAGCCTGGGCAACAGAGTGAGACCCTGCCAAAAAAAAAAAAAGATTTTTCATAGAGCACTAATAATTCAGTGTGGTATTGGCCTGAAGTCAGAAACATTAACCAGTGAAACAGATCCATGCATACATGCATACATGAAAATGTTATATGACAGAGATGACAATGCAGATCCCTGGAGCAATTATGGTTATTCAATAGATCAGGGTCCACAACCCCAGGGCTGAGGATTGGTACTGATCTGTGTCCTGTTAGGAACTGGGCTACATAGCAGGAGGTGAGCGGTGGGTGAGTGAGCATTACCTCCTGAGCTCCACCTCCTGTCAGATCAGCAGTAGCAATATATTCTCATAGAACTCTATTGCTAACTGCACATGTGAGGGATCTAGGTTGCGTGCTCCTTATGAAAATTTAATGCCTGGTGATCTGAGGTGGAATAGCTTCGTTCTGAAACCAATCACACACACACACACACACACACACACATACACACACACACAATTTTTCCAATCATGGAAAAACTGTCTTTCACAAAACCAGTCCCTGGTGCCTAAAAGGTTGGGGATCACTGTAACAGGTGATGTTGGGACAACCAGCTATCCATGTGGGAGGAAAATGAAATTTAAAACCTACTTCAATTTCAAAACCCCAAATCAATTATGAATAAATGAATGCCAATGAAACAGTGCCCAATCTTATTAAAAACCAGGGAAACACAAATTAAAGTGAGATACCACTTTAAATTATTAAACAAAAATTAAGAACTTTGACAATAAAAACGCTGGAAGGGGTGTGAAGCAGCAGAAAATTTCATACATTGCTGGTAGGTAGCTAGATCACACAATCACTTTAGAAAAGAGTTCTATATTACCTAGTAAAATTTGAAATGTATGTATGTATATGAACCAACAAATCCAATACTGGATAAACTTTCAAAGGTGCACCAAGAAACAACTGATTAAAAATTTTCATAGCAGCATTGTCTTAGTTGTTTACTCACATATAAATGAGTAAAAATGAAGAAAACAGTTGCATATAACACAAGAAGGAATCTTAGGAAAATTTTTTAGTAAAAGGGGATTTTCAAAAATAGGCAAAACTAACTAATATAATGTTTGGCAATAATATGTATGTGGGAAAACTAATTCTTTTAATGAAATGAATGGCATTTAATATACTGGTTACCACTGGGGTTGTGACAGTGAAAGAACATATTTGTGGTTTCATGATTTTTAAAGGATATAGATACAGTTTCTCTCTAGATAAGTATTTCTTTTGGGTCTTAAAAACTTCTATGACCCACAGGGGAAATGCCACTAGAGTATGTACATTATATAAGTTACTGGTAGATTTGCACTTCTCACTTTTCATAATTTTCTCCCTTTTCATAATTGAGTAAGTAGTACAATAGCCTACTTGATTTGTAATAGTCTTTTACAGGGTAATCATTTAATGGGGAGATGTTTATTTTTAATAACTGAAAAAGTAGGAGCCCATATAATTCCAAAGTGGTCTTATATGGATTCTATCCTTTGATTCGTAGTTGTTTTACTTATCTTACTAATTGTTTAGAATAATACTAAATGACTTATTTAGAATGTTAAAGGTACTTTGCATTCTCTGAATATGAATACCCACTAATTAATGTATAAAAACTAATAACAAGCTTGAATAAAAACTATTCATTCAATAAAAGCTTGTAAAGATCTGAGAGCCCAACAATGAAAAAGGAGTTTGTGGTCACTACAGACAATAACTTACCTTTAATGGTAAAGAGTTAAAAATCTAGTAACAGTAATATTTAACAAAGCTACGTAAAATTGAGTAGCTACAAATAAGATAAATCCTACCTGAGAAAGGTACATCTCTAAGAACAGTAGGAGCCCAGCCCCTCCAAAGGGAAATCCAACCATCTTCAGATACTTTCTTGCTGACAAATCGATGCAGTTCCATGTAAGAAAACTTCTTGGACTGCATCTTGGTTCTAATCAATTCTAGTGGACTTATCACAGTTACTGCACCAACTAATACAAACAAGTTTAAAAAAAGAAAACAAAAATAAAGCCATGTGCTATGCAAATACACATACTGTAAAAATTAATATTCATATCTTTTATGATATTTTAAACTTTTATTCTATAATGTCTGAAAACCTTAAAATTAAATATCTAATGATGTCAACATAATTGACACAGATCTTTCCCTTGATAAAAGTTATTTCTTAAAAGTCTATTTTCATATATCTTACTTTTTCTGGTTTCAACTCTCTCAACGGCAGTTCCAGAAATGTTGTAATCAACCAGAACTATGAAAACCAAAGCCCATTCCAGTTACTGACCCAATAAATCCCACTCCCATTTAGCAGAGTAAACGTTCTTCTGTATAGAGTCAACTTTCCTTGTGATCAAACTCTGAATCCCAAAGTTTTAAGGAAAGTGATTCAGAACTTTGGACTGAAGCATGCATGATCCCACGTGATACCTCAGAAGTTCAGGTGAATCAGAACCAACTCTGATGTCACTCTAAAAACTCTGTCCATGATTTGACCAAGATAGGCTGAGCCCATCTCATTCTGATGGTAATCACTATTCCATATGACTTCTGGAGTATCTATCCTATATTAACAAATTAATATAAACTGTAAGGCAAAATATATCATACTAATATTCTATATATTGTACAAATTATCTGTGATTGTCCCAACTTAAACAGAAGATCTAAACAGAAATCAAAATGAAAATAAAGATTTATTACTCACATCTGGCTACAATTCCAGCAACAATTGGTATGTAGGTTTCATTTTCTCCTAACTTAGATCTCAGAAGAGCACTTAATTGATCATAGCAGGTAAAATAAATAACTGTGGCAGGAACTGCCATCACTCTGTTAGATCACACAAAAAGATTTGTTCAAAATTATCAAAAGATTCCACAGTCTTAAATTCAAATATTATTATATAAGCGAAAAAACCCTTATATTTTGTGTAAGCTAAAAACCACAACAAATTAGCCTATGAGATCAATTTTTCTTTTATTTTAAAAATGGTTAATACTTAACTTAGTAGGCAGTAAAAAGATATAAAGTAGGCATTTGCCATCCAAAAGTTTGCATTCTAGTTGTGAAGACAGTTACAATATATAGCATTAAATAAGTGCTAGCATGGTGGCACATGCCTGTAATACCAGCTACTCAAGTGGCTGAGAAACTAGAATCACTTGAACCTAGGAGGCAGAGGTTGCAATAAGCCGAGATCATGCTACTGCACTCCAGCCTAAGGGACAGAGCAAGACTGTCTCTAAATAAATAAATTAAATAAAAATAAAACAAATAGGAAAAGACAAATTAAGACAGACACTTCATCTCCTTAACTTGTTCTGTTTCTGGTCGCCCAGATCTTCTTTCTCATTCATAATTACCATAACATCAGAATCAGCAAAATAAAAAGTATATGAGAAATTGTAAAACATTTTTGAACTATAGACCATATATCACTCCTGCTTGTAACTAGACATAAATTATAATTAACTTCATCAGAATTACATACACTAATTTTAAGGGAATTCTAATGATACACTATTTTAAAAGAAATTATTAAAAGGGAATTATTTAATTCAAACACAAAGTTGCATGTACTGTCATGTCGATAAATATTAATGCAACAAGAAATGAGTCCATGTTTATGATATAACTACAGAACATTCACAGACCATAGTCTGGAATGCTTAATCTTATATGGTGGACTTTGCTGCTGAGAATTTAGGAGCAGGACTGACTGGTGAGGTATTAGATCTGCCACTAACTTCAAACCTTAAGCATTGCTTAAAATAAATGCCTCAAATTGACTAATTTCCTCCATTAAAAATATAAAGTCCTTGGGAATAAATGAGACAGCAAAAGCTAAGTTATTATTTTAGATTTTTACATTTAATATTGAGTTTATCATACTAATTCATGTAATCGCTAGTTAGTAGACAATTAGAATTATCTGGAGAAAGTATACATTTTGCAATATATCATACAGCTTTAGTAAAATGAACAAATAGACATCAAAATCTTTATTTCTGAACATGAAAAAAATTACCATATGCTTGTGTAGCAAAGACAACACAGCAGGCTTGGTTGCTCAAACCTTGTATAACTTCAGGAGGGCCTATGTGCATGCCTGACATCTGGACAACTCATGGGAACGTATCCCCTGGAGTATTCCCTATTAGAAGGTTTTTTGGACATCTGAAGCACTAAACCAACTTGTCTAGGTTGATCTGTATACTGCGATTTATAGTAAACTTCTTTCCTTCTATGGGTTTAAAGTTTTGCTCATCACAACTGGCCTCAAAGACAGAATGTGTCCATACAACCCATGCTCAATAAAAGCCCTACACTCAAAACTCAAATGGGTTTCCCAAGGCAGAAGCACTTTGTATACTTCAGAGCTCACTAACAGAAGGATAAGCACATCCTGTGCAATGCCATAAGGGAGGACTTTGGAAGCCCATTTCTGGACAACTCCTGATGTGCCTTTTTCCCTTACCGATTCTGTTTTGTATCCTTTTCCTATAATAAACCGTATCTGTGAATATAACCTCTTCAGGTCCTGCAAGTCTTTCAATACATCATTAAACGTGCAGGTGGCTGTGAGGCTTAAAAACAATACCTCAGAAAATGAAAGCATTCTAATATTAAAAATGCAAGACTTTGTCCAACCATGCTGATTATAGGATAAAATAACATCCATTATTTGGTAGAAAAAACATTAAAATTCAACTTACAGGGTAGGAGGAAGGCCACTCCATAGAGATTTAATGCCCTCATTTCGAATGATTTTTAAAAAGGCATCCTAAAATTATAATAGAAAAAAGTAATCAAAATATATCTTTAAACCTGATATATAAAAATTTATAGTGATGATTGGTAATTTGATTCTTTCGGGTATTTACATCTAAAAAAATTAGCTTTTTGGATTTATGTCTGTTCTTTTTAAAAAGGTAATTTTAAAACACAATTAAAATGAAGCATTTCTGGATGATACTAACTTCTTACAGAATAAAGTCTATATTACTCAGCTCTAGATTGTTCTAAGAGCTTAGAAAAAAAGCTTTTGAAAAGATTATTATAAGAAAGGAAGGAGAGCAACAGCAGAGAATTGGTTAGATAAACTCTCCTAAGCATGAAATCAGAGAAAATATTAAAATGTGCTATGTGAAATCTTTGGAGAGGAACCTAAAGTAGGCAGAGCTTCTATTAACAGACAAACTCTTACAATTTGATAACAAAAAGATAATTAAAAATTGGCTAAGGATTTGAATATGAATTTCTCCAAAGAATACACACAAATGGCCAATAAGCACACGAAAACCTGTTTGGCTGCATGCAGTGGCTCCGGCCTGTAATCCCAGCACTTTGGAAGGTAGGAGACCCCTTGAGCCCAGGAGTTCAACATCAGCCTGGGCAATATAGTGAGACCTTATCTCTACAAAAAGCTAAAAAATTTGTTGGGCACGGTGACACACTCCTGTGGTGCCAGCTACTTGGGAGGCTGAGGTGGGAGGACTGCTTCAGTCCATCAGGGAGAGGCTACACTGAGCTGAGATCACACCACTGCACCCCAGCCTGGGCAACAGTGAGACCCTGTCTCAAAAAAAAAAAAAAAAAGAAAAGAAAAATAGAAAAAGGAAAAATGTTCATCATTGATCATTATGAAAATGCAAAGCAAAACCACGAATGAGATGTCACTTCATACCTACTAAATAAGCTAAAATTATAAAGACAGACAATAAAAAATACTGGTGAAAATGTGAAGAAATTGGAACCCTCAGATGCTACTGGTGAGAATACAGAATGGTGTAGCCTAGCAGTTGTTCAAAAGGTTAAACATAGTCATCACATGGCTCAGTAATTTCAACTCCAGTTATACTCTGAGAGAAATTAAAACACATATTCACATAAGGTTATAACCAAGAGAAATTAAAACACATGTTCACACAGAAACATGAATGTCCATAGAATTATTCCAAAAAGTAGAAACACCCCAAATGTCTATCAAATGATGAATGGATAAATAAAATGTGATATATTCACATAATATTACTTGGCAATAAAAGAAACAAAATACTGATACATACTACAACATGGATGAATCTTAAAACACTGTGCTAAGTAAAAGACGTTAGTCACAAAGGACTGCATATTTTCCCAGGAAAAAGAGCCCTAGTAAGACAGAAAAGTTTTAGACAATAACCACTCTACTCTAACCAAACAACAAAGTGAAACTTGTGGCACCACGACCTGTATCAGCAAAGGCTAAGTAGGTAGCCTAGACTTCCATCAATGTAAGGCTGACAGAAGGTCAATAAGGAACCAAGACTTTTACCCCTACCAGGTCAGCAGTAAGGCTCCTTCATCCCTCTGCTAGGGTGGTGTCACAGGAGGAATAGTGGAGAGTCAGTACTTTCACCATCACCCAGCAATGAGGCTACCCCACTACACCGTCAGTGGAAACCATGTAGAAAGCCAGAACTCCCATGCATGCTCAACAGTAAAAGAGGTCTTCCCTCACACTGTGCGTCAATAGAGGCTGGGTGGGGAACCTGGACTTCTAACTCTATCCGACAGTAACAAGGTGACATCCTTTCTCCCCCATGGAAGCAATGTCAGAAAAAGACAGCTAAAATAGAATGTTTTAAGTGAGATTAAGAGTTTAATGGAATGCTAAAAAATGTTCAAGTAACACAAAGGAAGGCAGGAAAAGCAAAACAGAAATAGAAAACAGAACAAAGAGAAAATTAAAAAAATAATAATAGGCTTAAGTTCTAATCTATAATGCATTACAATAGTTAAACTAAGTCTACTAAAAGATAAAAACTGACAGAGTGAAGTTAAAACACGACTCAATTTTATGTTATCTAAAAGAAATTCACTTCAATTATAATGTCATAAGCAGGTTGAAAATGGATTGAAACACTCAACACATTAAAGATGTTATTCCCCTCAAAATTAACATACAAGTTGAATGTCATTCCAATAAATACCCTAGCAATATTTTTTTGTAAATATAAACAGGATCAAGCTAAGATTTATGTGGAAAGACAAAGGAACTCTGGGGATAGCAAAAACAACTTTGAAAAAAAATATAAGGACCAGATTCCGAGTCTCACGCCTCTATCTCAGCACTTTGGGAGCCCACAGCAGGAGGACTGCTTGAGCCCAGGAGTGTGAGACCAGACTAGGCAACATAATGATACTCTGTCTCTACAAAACATAAATCACAGTGGCACATGCCTATAGTCCCAGCTACTTGGGAGATGGAGGTGGGAGAATCTCGAGGCATGTAGATTGAGGAAGCAGTAAGTCATGATTGCTCCACGGCACTCCAGCCTAGGTGACAGAGCGAGGCCTTGTGTCAGAAAAAATAAAAAGAAATATAAAAATAAAGTAAGAGGAATAAGTGAATCTAATTTCAAGACTTACACGTGCAATAATTAAGACTGTGGTATTGACAGAGTGACAGACAGAGATAAATGGAACAGAATAGAAAACTCAGAAGTAGACACACCTAATATGCCCCACTGATTTTTGACAAAGGTGCAAAAAGCAACTCAATGGAGGAAATAAAGCCATTTCCACAAAGGCAAGTGAACATCCATAGGCAGCAACAACAAACAAACCTCAATCACAGTCTCATGCCCTATATAAAACTAACTCAAAATGGATCAAGGACTTAAATACAATTTTTATGAAAACGTCTTCAGAGTGTAACAGTAGACAAAAAGTTCTTAGCCTTGACACCGAAAGCATGACCTATAAAAGATATTAATAAATCAAACTTCATAAAAATTAAAAAGTTTTACTCTGTGAAAGACCATGTTTAAGAGGATGAAAAGACAAACTAGAAGTGGAAAAAAATATTTGCAAACCACACATTCAACAAAAGACTAGTATCTAGAACATATAAATAACTATCAAAATTCAACAGTAAAACTACAAACAATTTTATTAGAAAAGGGTCAAAAGACATGAAGAGCCTTTTTACTGAAGAGGGAAACAAGCATATTAAAAGATGTTCACCATCATTAGCCACTAGGGAAATGCAAATTAAAACCACAACGAGATATCTCTACACAGCTATCATCATTGGTAAAATAAAAGTAGTGACAACACCAAAACACTAGTGAAGATGCGGAGAAATTGGATCAGTCACACAGTGCTAATGAAAAATGTAAAATGGTAGAACCAGCGTAGAAAACAGGTTAGGAGTTGCTTAAACTATAAACATGTAACTACCACATGACTCAGCAACTGTATTCCCTAACGCATTTTTCCCAGAGTAAGTGAATGTTTGTAGCAGCTTTATTCATAATAGCCAAAATCTGGAAAAAAACTCTGAAAACAAACTGTATTATATCTGTACCATGAAATAATCTATATCATGAGCAATACAAAAGGAACAGATGATTGACACATGCAACAACCTGGATGAATCACCAGGTAATTATGCTATGTAAAAAATGCCAACCCCAAAAGGTTATATATGTTATGATTCCATTTATATAACATTCTTGAAATGACAAAATTACATAAATGAAGAACAGATTAGTAGTTGCGAGGACTTAAGGAGTTGGTGAGAAAACAAGGGAAATGGGTGTGGCTCTAAAAAAGGAAACAGGAAGAATCCTTGTGATGATGAAATTATTCTTTATTTTAATTGTATCAATCAATGTCAAAATCCTTGTGGTGACACTGTATTAGTTTTGTAAGATGGTACCACTGGGGGAAACTAAGAAAAGGGTACATGAAATCTGTCTGTATATATATTTTTAATTTTATATTATTTCAAAATAAAAATGGTTAGTTTTTTAAAAAGTTACCTCCCCCTTTTTTACACAAAACCATGAACCTATGAAAAGGTTAACAAAGGGTTAAACAGCAAAGAAGTAGTTCCCTGTTCTCAGTTTAATATGATTCTTCACCCTCTTGCAATTAGAAAAATCTTTCACATATAAGATTAAATAGAAAATATACTGTGATTCTAAAAAATATAATCACCTTACCAATGTTCCCTGGAAATTTCCTGGCTTCTTATACCACAGTTTGTTGCCTCCCTCTTCACAGACACATAGATGATCCATGAGTCCATTACTATATACAAAACATTTTCCTAGCAAAGAAGATTCCAACAGCCAACAATTACCTCATATAACCTTTATTATTTTTACAGATGAACAATTTGACATCACAATGAGGAAACTAGAAAATTATGAAAAGAGAATCTTGAAAAAGATAAATAACCATCTCTACTTTTTAGGATGAAATGGACATAATTAATTTGATTTGCTTAATGCTACTGCAATGCATTCTAAACTCAGAGTTGTTAAAAGTAACTGCAAATTAGTACTTTATGTTTTCAGAACTGTGTAAGAAAATGGCTGGGCACAGTGGCTCATGGCTGTAATCCCAGCACTTTGGGAGGCCAAGGTCAGGGGACCACTTGAGGCCAGGCATTTGATTTCAGCCTGGGCTACACAGTGAACCTCCAACTCTACAAAACATTTTTAAAAATTAGCTGGGTGTGGTGGCACATGCCTGTAGTCCCAGTTACTCAGGAGACTGAAGTGGGAAGATCACCTGAGCCCAGGAGGTCAAGGCTGCAGTGAGCTATGATCACACTACTGCACTCCAGCCTGGGTTGGGTGACAGAGTAAGACTCACTCTCAAAAAAAAAAAAAAAGTACACAAATAACTTCTTTTAAGTTTTTAAGTTATCTGAGGGAATGAAGAAAGAAGATAAAAGAGGAAAACTCATTTAGAGAAGAGAACACGGACATAAATCTTGTCTATTTGTCCAGAAGAAAAATCTGTGGTATGCAAGGGAAATTCAGACAAAAATAGAATTTTTTTAAAAATATCATTCTCAATGTACATAATGCCATGCTTTGTCTCTTTTTCTGTATCTGTACTCCTCAGTCTAGCCATTTGTCACATTCGACCTAATGTAGTAACAACCTTCTTCTCTAGTACCAACTTCTTCCCACTTACTGGACTAAACTGTTACCAAAATTGTCTTCACTGCCCAACCGTATATAAAAATACGAAGCTGTGAATTTTGTAATACTTAAGTCTGAGTGTTGCCTTCTGCTTTTGTGGTTTTCTTTAACATATAGGAAATTACCTTTTTAGCCTCTTCCTACAATCTACTCTTTCATTCATCTAAAATATCAGGGTTGTTCATTCCCTCTCACTGCTCTGTATTCAACACAGTGGCTTTATATCTGAGCCAATTTTCTCACAGTCCAAATTGTGTTTTCTGCCACTTAAAATGTGGTTGCAATGCCATTATCTTTATAAACCTATAAAATACTAAGGAATTGCTAATCTTGCCTATCTTATAAAAACACATCATTATTTGTCTCAAATTCTACATAAACTACTATCCAGAAATTAACCAAGCTATCTGATAAAATAATACATTTCCAATCACTATATTCAAGCAATAGTTGTATGATGGTCATGATGCTCTAACATGGGCACAACTTTTGGACACGGGAGTAAGCTAGATTCTAAGGTCCCTCACAAATATAATTCTGTTCTTACCTCTGAGGCACATCTACAAATACATAACCATCCTTTGCTTTAATTAGTAGGTCCCTACAAATGTTATATATTTATTTTTTGCCTACACTTCATCACGTACAACTAAATGGTGAAAACAAAAATGTTTTTCATGAGGGTAAGAGGCATCTATTTTAATAAATTAGCAAATTAATATTATGCAAACAAAAATAAACAAAGGAACATTTAAAAATCAAACATAACATTTTAGGGTAATTAGTACACGTACCTTTGGGGAGTGGGTTGTTTTGGGCTTGGAGTCTAATTTTAACAACATCCAGGGGTGTCACTATTGAAGATATGTAAGTTTCAATTAGCAAGTGGTATCTGTAAATTGGATAGATGTTTTACAAAGAACACAAAATACATTGATTCATACTTTTCCTCATGGCTATATAATGGGTGAGCTTATTTATCTTAAAGTAGTCTTGAATGTAACATTCTAACTTTTTTGCCCTTCAATTTTGCTAATCAGTGAAAGACAGACTAATTACTTCTCTCATGAGTACCAACTGCTATTTGTAATATTCCTACAACTATCATTCCATTAGCAATAAAGTTGGTATTTGTAAGAAAATATGCTTTCTAATAGAAGAAGCAAAAGTTCCAAAAGTCTTTGAGAATAACTTTGTATAAGTAATCAACAGTCAAATGATATTAGTCTTCCTAATCTGTCAAATTTACCTGTATCAAATAAGTGGTACAGATAATAAAAATTTGAGTACACTGGCCATAAAACATCTTTAGCACTAAATTATGTTATTCCATTTGGGCACGGCACAGCAAAGGAATATAGTTTTAATATGTATGCTATATTTTATCCAAGTAGAAACAAATGCCAAATAATGGTTCTAAGAAAACTTTTCCTCATCTTGAGAATGACAATAATCATATTAGATGATCTCTATGACCTTTATAACTCAAATTCTGACTTGAAAATACATCATAAGCAATTAATTTATTTGTTCTAATCATTTGTTATTTGTATAAACTACGCAACTTAAAAATCATTAAAATGCTAAACTATCACCTAACTATGTCATTTGGCTACATCTACAAGAAGCTGACTGTAAGAAACAGAAAACTGTGATCCAGAGAAATTTAAGAAATTCCATTAGTGCAAAATAAAGATTATTTGTAATTGTTGCTAACATAAATTGCTAAAATTCTATATATTCATTATGGTAATATTTTATTCCATCTTCTTGTTTTCTATTATAAAAAAGGAGAATCAGAAAAGTTTAATGTTGATAGGGACCCAAAAGAAATCTCAGTATAAGTCCCTAATTTACAGATGAAATAATGAAGTTCAAATAAAAGTTAGATTTCAACTTGAAAATGGCAAAGCAAGGACTAAAAATTCAAGTCTCTTGAATCTCTGTCCAGGGTTGTTTTCATATAATAATATGATGAAACATTCATGGATCATAAATGATAGAATGTGTTGTGGGAAGTCAGGGACCCCAAACGGATGGACTGTCTGGAGCCATGGCAGGGGAACATAAATTCTGAAGATTTCATGGGCATTTACCAGTTCCCAAATAATACTTTCATAATTTCTTACGCCTTTCTTAATCTCTTAATCCTGTTATCTTCATAAGCTGAGGATGTACGTCACCTCAGGGTCACTACGATAATTGTGCTAACTGTACAAATTGATTGTAAAACATGTGTTTGAACAATATGAAATCAATAACAGTAATTTTAGGGAACAAGGGAAGACAACCATAAGGTCTGATTGCCTGCAGGACTGGGCAAAATAGAGCCATATTTTTCTTCTTGCAGACAGCCTATAAACGGATGTGCAAGTAGGGAAGATATCACTAAATTCTTTTCCTAGCAAAGAATATTAATAATTAATACCCTGGGGAAGGAATGCATTCCTGGGGGGAGGTCTATAAACGGCCCTCTGGGAGTGTCTGTCTTACGTGGTTGAGATAAGGACTGAAATATACCCTGGTCTCCAGCAGTACCCTCAGGCTTACTAGGATTGAGACACTCCACCCTGGTAAATTTGAGGTCAGACTGGTTCTCTGCTCTCGAACCCTGTTTTCTGCTGTTTAAGATGTTTATCAAGACAATATGTGCACTGCTGAACATAGACCCTTATCAGTAATTCTGCTTTTGCCCTTTGCCTTGTGATCTTTGCTGGACCCTTCTCAGGAGTTTGTGATTTTGTCCTTGTCCTGTTTCCTCAGAAGCATGTGATTGTTCTCCTTTTTGCCTTTGAAGCAAGTGATCTTGTGACCTACTCCCTGTTCTTGCACCCACTCCCCTTTTGAAATCCTTAATAAAACTTGCTGGTTTTGCAGCTCAGGTGGGCATCACAGTCCACCGATATGTGATGTCACCCCCGGAGGCCCAGGTGTAAAATTCCTCTTTGTACGCCTTCTCTTTATTTCTCAGCCAGCCAACACTTAGGAAAATAGAAATAACCTACATTGAAACATTGATACTAAAACTCAAATGGAAGCACTGATTCATTCAAAGTTACATAATCTACATCAGTAACATAATTTTACCTATTAGTGATGTCAGTATAGCTCCAGTACATGAGGCAAGCATTTGTTGAAGAGGTGTCACTTTGATAATCTCTTGTCCTCTTGTTTCGGGATCCATATTTTTAACTAATTAAATACAAACCTGTTAAAGAAAAAGAAAATATAAAATTAGAGCACGTCCTCTGATACTTCAAAAATGATAATGTCCTTCAGCTAAGCTGGGTGAGCAGCATCACAATAGTAAGACAACTAAGAGAGAATTAACCAAACAGATACAGACCACATAATAGAATGAAAGCAGTTGACCAGTAAGTCTCAGAGTCAGTGAACTTAGCCTCATAAACACTACTAAGAAACCCTCCCCAGTAGAGTACAGAGGTATCAGCAAATATAGCCCTTTATTAGACACCAGTAGTTGTTGTACAGATGTAAAATAAAAACACATAACCTTAATAAGTTTTATCTTACAAAAATTTGAGGAGAAAAGCAACATAAAAACATAAAAGTCTTAAAAAGTCAGATAATACAAAACAGTATAAAAATAACTTATGAACTTACTATTCAAAAATAATCACTGGCCAGGCACGGTGGCTCACGCCTGTAACTCCAGCAATTTGGGAGGTCGAGGCGGGTAGATCATAAGGTCGGGAGATCAAGACCAACCTGGTTAACATGGTGAAATCTCGTCTCTACTAAAAACACAAAAAATTAGCTGGGCGTCTGTAGTCCCAGCTACTCGGGAGGCTGAGGCAGAAGAATGGCATGAACCTGGGAGGCGGAGCTTGCAGTGAGCCAAGATTGCGCCACTGCACTCCAGCCTGGGCGACAGAGCAAGACTCCGTCTCAAAAAAAAAAATAATAATAATCACCAGCAACATGAATGCCATCCTTCCAAATGTCTACGCACATATACACATACATATGGATACGTCTATACACACACATTTCATCTAACTAAATACTGTATATTAATCAAACACATACACTTATATGTTTGTGTACATACAGCTTTTCTGAAAAACAGGTTAATACTATTTTGCTTTAGTAGCCTGCTTTAACAAAAATATATTATAGACACTGTGTCAATAAAAACAGATTTACATTTTTATTGCTTGCACAGTAGTTAATTATATTTAATCAGTTTCAGATTGTTAGATACCAGGTTGTTGCCAATTTCCAAACTGTAAAATATTCTGCTATAATATTCTTATACATACATATATATCTTTTTGTAACCTTCCTGCAATTACTCTAGGAAAAAAAGTAAGATTGGTGGGATAAGCTATTTTAAAACTTGATACAGGGCCAGGTGCGGTGGCTCACACCTGTAATCCCAGTACTTTGGGAGGCCAAGGCAGGTGGATCACCTGAGGTCAGGAGTTCGAGACCAGCCTGGCCAACATGGTGAAACCAAGTCCCTACTAAAATTACAAAAAATTAGCCAGGCATGGTGGTGCAAACCTGTAGTCCCAGCTACTTGGGGAACTGAGGCATGAGAATCCTTTAACCCAGGAGGCAGAAGTTGCAGTGAGCCAAGATCGCATTACTGCACTCTAGCCTAGGTGACAGAGGAGACTCCGTGTCAAAAACAAAACAACAACAACAACAAAAAAACTTCATACAAATTGCCATGATGCTTTCCAGAAAGCTTGGATCAATTTATACTTCTACTGGCAATATGAGAGTTCTTACTTATGCATGACTTATCGAATTCTCTGTCAAATTACATATCATTTTTTTCTGAACCATTCAAAAGTAGGCTGCATACATCATGTCCCTTCACCATAAATATGTCAAAATATTATCTTATATAATCACAATACAATTATCAAATTCAGAAAACAATTTTGAACAGTACTCTACAGTTCATATTCCAATTTTGTCAATAATATCGATAATGTCTTTTATAAAAATAAATGGTAATTTTATTGTTTCTTTAGACTTTTATTATCTACCTACCTGGTTTGAGTCTTTTCTTCAACTCTATGCTCCAATATTGTATCGTCTGTAACATCAGTAGCCAAAAACCTATAATTAAAAGAAAGTAATTGTCTTATCTTTTCACCCAGGAAAAGGATAATAAATCTAAAAGAAAGGAGTACATAAAAACTTCAATACAAAAATCAACAAATATTCATTAAAGGCTTTCTACTAATTGCTCTGAGGAATATAACGAGCACTCCATACAGGCAAGCATTAGTTACAGAAGCATTTTCACAAAAACCTCATGTTATTCTAGTTAATATACTCTGCTTTAAAAACAAATAAGCAAATGACTCTAGAGCCCAAACACAGTAATCAATCTTACCATCATTTACAGTAGAACAACCAGATTTTGTAACACAAAATTAAAGGTCCAGCATCATCTATGAAGGTTTTTTTTTGGGAGGGGAGTGTAAGGGGGGGACCCTTTAATCTGAATTGAAACAAGCAACAAGCTTTAGATCTAACTTCCAAGTCACAGGAAATTCAGCAACTAGGGTAACAAGGTAATGGATGCCACATAACAGTAGAAGTTGTACTCTTTTAGCTTACAGGACTATTGTCTTGATTTCTCCAAGTCAAAGGTGGGAAAAAAGGTGGCAGGGGAGATTAAAGGAATCTTGAAAGAGTCAACCACCAAAAGAACCCTGGTTGAAACAAACAAATTTTTCCAGTTTGAAGGTAACTAGTGATACCTGAACATGGTCTGGTATTAGATAATACTAATTTGATATTAGACAATATTTCAGACATCTTGTTTATTTTGTATGTAGAAATAATCTTTTAAGATTATTTTAAGATATCATTTATCTTTTAAGATATCATTCTAAATTATTAAGGACCATAATGTTCTAATAGCTGTAGTTTACAAAACTTCAAAAACATAAATATACTAAAATGTTAATGATTTGGTAAATCTACGTAAACATATATCATAAATATTTCATTGTTCTGTATTTTTCTTTATATGTGAAAATATGTATAATAAAAATATTTTAGTTCCTGAAACTTATGTAGAATCTTCAAGTCTAGGGAACATCATATTTGTAACATTCATTTAAATGAGCTCCTTTAAGTGGAAAAATAATATATGTATGCTAGAATACAGGTATATTTCTCTTCCAGAATGGTAAAATGGCCCACAGTACTTTATTGTTGACACTGATGCCAGCAAGGTTGACACTTGAATATGTGCACATGAAAGTAAATCCAGAAAACTTTATTACGTTTTTAGCCATTAGAATGTAAGGAAACAAGTCAGAAATTTAGATACAACTTTTCAGAATAGTTAATGAAATTGTTTCATAACATATATACTATTTTAGAAAAATAAGTTACATCAATTATCTCCTAAAATCATATTACCTAATTATAATGAGAACTGAAAAATGAGTCTCCTTTTCAATTTATTACAAAAATAATGAAAAAAATGCAAAACTCTACTCCCAGAGACTTGGGAGTACACGTAGAAAATGTGAGAAGTGATTATCAGTGAACTGCCTAGAACTCATAATGTATTCAACATTGCTTTAAACTCCCTAGAGTTTTACCAACCTACTTATCTTTTTTCTTTGCCACTTTCTATTCGCCTATATGCAGACACTGTCCCTTTTTCAGGGAGGACACATTCTAGTGGGATAAATCACTCTAACAAAGTATCTCTTGGCTTTCTTATAATAGTAGAACATCTCATCAACAAAACGTTCTGCAAGAACAGTTTTCCTCCCTCAACTCCCTGCAAAATTCTTCTTTTCTATACCTTTTCTGCTTCTGTATGCTGCTGAAGTAACCATTAATAATTTATTCTAACTAGCCAACGTGGTCTTCAAGTGTAAATGGGAAGCATTCTCCAACATGAAAAACCCATGAGCCCTTGTTAAGAAACATGTTACTTAATAACAAAATTCACTCAACCAAGAGATTAAGAACATTTAGTAAAAGGATTAAAGTAATTTACATTTAAGCCAGAAGACAGAAAAGTACCTCCTCAGTCTCATCAGAATTTTTAATTTTTTCAAAACAAATATGTGTTAAATGCTATCTTATAATCTTGATTTACCTTCTGCATTAGTCTGTTTTCACCCTACTGATAAAGACATACCCAAGACTGGGCAATTAACAAATAAAATAGTTTTAATGAACTCACAGTTTCACACGCCTGGGGAGGCCTCACAATCATGGCAGAAGGTAAAAGGCACGTCTCACACAGCGGCAGAGAAGGTAAGAGAACTTGTGCAGGGGAACTCCCCTTTATAAAACTATCAGCTCTCATGAGAAGTATTCACTATCACAAGAATAGGACGGGAAAGGCTCACCCCCATGATTCAATTACGTCCCACCAGGTCTCTCCCACAACATGTAGGGACTGTGGCAACTACAATTCAAGATGAGACCTGGGTGGGGATACAGCCAAAGTATATCACCTTCCCCTGTCCAATAAAGATGCTTAACATTTCTTCACATTTTTATCAGTAGTATATAATGCCTCTTCTGTAGTATGTCCATTTGCATCTTTTACCTACTTTGATGTTAAGGCATGTATACTTTCCTTACTATTTTGAGGAATCCTTTATTCCATTGAAAAAAAGAATACTCAGGAATGCATGATATGGTTTGGTTGTCTCTCCACCCAAATCTCATCTTAAATGGTAGTTCCCATAATCCCCATGTGTCATGAGAGGGAACAAGTGAGAGTTAATTTAATCATGATGTTCTTGAGATAGTGAGTTCTCACAAGATCTGATGGTTTTATAAGGGACTTTTCCCCCTTTTGCTTGGCACTTCTCCTTGCTGCCACCATGTGAAGAAGGACATGTGTGCTTCCTCTTCTACTATAATTGTAAGTTTACTGATGCCTCCCCAGCCACACTGAACTGTGAGTCAATTAAACCACTTTCCTTTATAAATGACCCAGTCTCAGGTATGTCTTTATTAGCAGTGTCAGAATGGACTAATACATTTATTTATTTTTATTGATACATACTAGATGTACATGTTTTGGGAGTACATGTGATAATCTGATATATTAATACAGTGTGTCAAGATCAAATCAGGGTAATTGGGATATCCATCACTTTAAACATTTATCTTTTATTTATGTTAGGAACATTCGAATTATTATCTTCCAGTTATTTTGAAATGTGTAACAGATTATTAACTATGCTTACTCTACCAATTGATCAAACACCAGGTCTTATTTCTTCTATCTAACTGAAATTTGTACTCATTCATCAACTTCTCTTCCCAGTTTCCTTCCCCAAAACCTTCCTGGTCTCTGGTAATTACCAATCTACTTTTAGTCTTCATGAGATCCACTTTTTTAGCTCCACATATGACTGAGAACATGTGATATTTGTCTTTCTCTCTCTGGCTTATTTCAATTAACATAAGAATTTCTAGGACTTCCAGGTTCATCCACGTTGTCACAAGTGACAGAATTTCATTCTTTTTACAAATGTTCTGTAAACGTCAGTTAGGCCTGTGTAGTTTAACTCCAGTGTTTCCTTGTTAGTATTATGGCTGAATGATCTGTCCATTACTGAGAGTGTGTTACTGAAGCTCCCCACTAATACTGAATTGTAGTCTCTCTCTCCCTTTACGACTATTTAAAAAATTTAATTGATATGTACTAGGTGCATCTATATTCAAGGTGGATGTGATAATTTAATACATTCATATAATTTACAAAGTCAAATCAGCATAATTGGGATATACAGCACCTTAAATGTTATTTGTTAGAAACGTGATTCTCTTCTAGCTATTTTGAAATACACAACAGTTTAATGTAAACTATATCTACCATACTGATCTATCAAAAAAATGTGGTCTTCTTTTACCAAACTGTTCGTTTTAGATCTATTAATGTTTGCTTTATATATTGGGGTGTTCCCGCATTGGTTACATAAATATTTACAATTGTTGTATCATCTTGCTTAATTGATCCCTTTACCATTTTATAGTGACTTTGTCTCTTTTTACAGTCTTTGACTACTAGTCTATTTTACATATGCACAGCTACTCCAGATTCTTTTTGGTTTCCACTTGCATAAACGAAATACCTTTCTCCATCCCTTCGTTTTCAAATTGTGTCTTTATAGATTAAGTGGGTTTTTTGTAGACAGCATATGGTAGGGTCTTGGTTTTCTTAATCCATTTAGCCATTCTGTGTCTTTAAACTGAGAACTGAATCTATTTTTATTCTGTATTAGTACTAATAACTTACCACTGCCATTTTGTTGTTTCTTTAACGGCTGTTTTCCAACTTGTCTCCTCTTCTTTTCTTCCATTCTTACTGTTTTCCTTCATGGCTAAGTGATTTTCTTTGTTAGCATGTTTTGATTTGTTGATTTTTTCTTTTCTTTCTTTCTTTCTTTTTTTTTTGAGACAAGGTCCTGCTCTGGTGCCCAAGCTGGAGCGCGGTGGCAGGATCACAGCTAACTGCAACCTCAAGCTGCTGGGCTCAGGCAATCCTACTGCCTTAGCCTCTTGAAGAGTTAGGGGACTATAGCCATGAGCCACCACTCCTCGTCTAACGCATTGCTTGTTATTTTTAGTGTATCTACAATAATTTTGCATTGTGGTTAACATGAATTTTAAAAATCATCTTGTAAATACGTTATTTTTAAAAGATAAAAACTTATTTTAGATAAAGAATAGAAACAAAGAGAAAACTAAGAAAAAAAAGCTCTACACTTTAATTACATCCTGCACACATTTTGACTTTTTGTCTTAATTTATATATTCTTATATTCCTTATCTCTCAACAGGCTGCAGCAGCTATTACAGTTTTTGATAGATTTTTCTCTTATGCTTCATACTAGAGTTATGAGTGAATTGCACACCACAATTTCAGCATTAGAATATTCTTGGGAGGCCAGGTGCAGTGGCTGAGGCTTGTAATCCCAGCACTCTGGGAGGCCAAGGCAGGCGGATCACTTAAGGCCACAAGTTCGAGACCTGCCTGGCCAAGAGGATGAAACCCCAACTCCGTTAATAAAAACAAAAATTAGCAAGGTGCAGTGGCACTTGCCTGCAGGCTGAGGCAG